ATGTTCAGGAAATCTCCAAACCAAGAAGACATGTGTCCTTCATCAAATAACTCGAGTGTGAAATTAATCCCCAATCCACAAAGCCCCAAATTGAGGGTCTTCATTGCATCCTGAGACATCAGAACACTCTCAACCATTCCCCACATCAGGACCCAAGATCCCCAACCCGTGCAGACTCTCCAAGCTCCCAATCCATGGGATCCACAGCTCCCGCCCCCACCCGAATTAACGTGATCCTCAACTCCAAACCTTGACTGTACCAACCCTCACATACACAAAGCCCCAAACCCTGTTGCACCTCAGGCTGAAAAGTCCTTGTCCAGCTCAAATGAACTTTCCCTCATGTTCTCAAAACTCCCTCAAGACCAAAGTCCACTCCAGATCCCTTACCCTGGGGACCCCACGAATGTATGCAAGACTCCCAGCCACCCTCCTGTCCCTCCTGTCCACCCTTGCCCAAGGATACGACCTCTTATTTTCAGGGTGCACCTTCTCAGGAAACGGAGCCCCAAAGCGCCCTAAACGCGAGGCACCCTAACTCACTGGCCCCTCTCCGACCTTGATCCTTGACCTGTGCCCTCAAACCCAGGATTCACTCAGGATCCCATTCAGACTGTGAGGAACCGGTGCCGCGTCCTTCTGCCTTAATATTTCCCACGACTGTAACTCAGGTTTTGTGAGGGACAGTTTGGCTGCGTGAAGTCGACAGCTTTTCCAAAGGGTTTGTGTCACGGGAGGTCCCGGTTCCACCAGGAACTCCCGTCAAGTCCCCATTGGAGATCCCAATTCTGAGAAAGTACTTCCTAGGGCTTTCTTTGGCCACGCCCAGAATCTCAACTCTGCTTCTGATTGGACCACAACAAAGGGAGACCCGCCTACCTCTCCATGACGTCACAGGGACGGTGACCTTTACAGACACCTTCATTCCAGCATCCACCCTAGCCAAGTCCATCCTCACCATCTGGCTTTCAGAGCCCAGGACCGGGCTTCTGGCCCTCAGCGTCCTCCCTTCCTGGGCCCTGGGGACCTGGATTCTGGCTTGGTGCCTCTGCCAGCCTCAAAGATAAGGAAGGGGCCATTTATAGCCTAAGACTAGCACTGCCAGAGGCGCTGGGGTCTTTTTCTCTACTGTGACTGGCACCCCAAGCTTTATGGCGATTGAAATTCAGTAATGATTCTCTTTCCTCATTTCAATTCCACAGTCTCCTCCCAGGTTAAGGAAGGAACGCCCAGCTCTCAGTGGGACGGGAGTTCTTGAGGCCATTAATGGGGGGTGCTAGAGAAAGGTGTGGAGCGCTCCCACCCTTGGAATCCCCAAAGCGCTCTCCTTGCTGTCCTTCCTGCTCCAGGGAAACTCACAGGGTTTCAGCAGCGAAAGGGCTGCCAGGTGTAAGTAGGAAGCATAACCTAAAATATAACGAGTAATGACAAACTCCAAGATCCCATCTCCCTCCATTGTTTTATGCACACACACCGCCAGGAAAGCTGTAGATACAAGCATTGGGAATGTAGAATTTTATACCTCCCACTCTCCTCCCTGTCTTACCTTCGCTGGGAATGGTACCCTGAAACTGTAATTAGACCAGAGGCGTGGATTCTTGGAGGGGAATGATTAGATTGGTCTGTGTTTGAGGAAGCTTTTTTATCACCCCCAAAGCAGCAAAAGCTCTCTGGAAATGAGTCGAGTTTTATACTCTCTGGCCAGACCCTGTGCTCCTGCTTGGGTCTTGGTATCTCTAAATCCTTTCATCCCAGGCCTACACAAAGACAGATTTAGTGCTTCTGTGATTTTCAGGGACAGACAATGGTTAATAAGGAACACAGTATCCCCTGGCTTTCTGCAGACTTGTTGGATTCCAGATATCAAACCCCAGATACTCAGAACCCAGCTAAAGAAGAAGACACTTGCTTGACCTAATCCCAGAGATAATAGATCCAGGTCTTGTGTTTGGAAGTTTTGACCTTCCAAATTAGAAGTCTCCCTGGATTGCCAGAAAGTTCTGCTGCAGAAGTTGCCACACTTCCCCAATGGCTATTCCTCTCCCCTCTCCCATGTTTTAGACTGTCTTCTCTAAGAGGAAGGAAAAGAAAGAATGAATGAAAATAAAAAAATATTTCAAAACTCTCCTCTAGGCATAAGGGGTTGGAGAGTTTTAGTCCTGCTCACAACTGCCCCAGCATTTCCAGAGTCTGGGAGCAGAGGAAGAGGCTGATTCACACTGAATGAGCTCCCCCTGGGTACTGTGTTCAGTCCCCAGTACACACTCAAAGGAGTCACTGGCCCGCTAGAGGCAGTCTCCAAAATCCTGATCTTTCTGGCAGTGGAGGAGTGTTGAGCTTCTGGTAGTTTGTTCATCATATTCTTTGCCATAACTATGCAGAATTCTGGATCCTACCTTCCAGTCCCTGCAGGGTTCTTCAAAAACATTAAACATGGACCTCCCTAGAGCAAACCCCCAACAAGAATTTCTCCAGAAACTCTGAAGGAAAGTTAATGAGTGCTTGCTCTAGATGAACCATGAGTTCCTTCAGTGTTCTGAACACCCAGGGCAGAAGTAACACCTCTTCTAGAAAGACCAGGAGAGTGGACTCTAGAAGAGAGGGTTCCCTGTTGTGAAGGACAGAAGCCTTAAACAAAGGTAACAACCCTTAAACAACGGGTCTTCCATTGCCCAGACTGGTGAAGGTGCATTTCCAAGATGACCCCTTTCTGCAGTGCATCCTCTTGATTATTCCCATCCCTTGACAAGGAAACAGACTCCAATAATGGATTCCTGTATTTCTCCCACTCACAAGTAGGAGAACTCTGAAGACACGCCCACAACATCAACAGAGGTTCTCACTATGCCCCTCCCTACAGGGGACACCTAGAGATTTCCGTAGGTGGCTGTTGTAATAATCATGCTGCCTCCAGGAGCTCTGCCTCAGAGAAAGCCTCCTGCTTCATCCACTCCCTGAAGAGATGCATTCCCAAGAACCCTCCATTCTGTAAAATGGAAGCAGTGTGCTCCCTTTCTAAAATAAACCTAACACTCAACTTTTCCTATTGTCACCCAAATAGAAGTGTTCTTCCAC